CACACTGCACCATAAAGCAGGCACACTGTCAAAGATTTTCACCTACGTGCGAGTCCTGAATGCTGGTGCATGCTGGGATGTGGTCAGTGGCTCCGACTGTCGTAAATATAGAATGAGTTCTACAGAAACAGACACTCCTAACTCCTTGACTCCACTTTTAATTTTAAAAAATAACATTTACATGTGCAAAAGATACCATGCATATGTATAATATTAAGATTTTAAGAAACTAAATTTAGCCCTTGTTGATAATCTTTTGTATCTTTATTTAAAACTATTCAGTTCTCCCTTATTATTAATTTTCCTTTCTTTGGGGATCCTCTCTCTCTCTCTCTCTCTCTATCTGAAATCTTAATAGCAGTGCTTAGCTCTAGCTTTCAGGATTTTAAAATTTTCCCTAACTTAGGAATTAATACTATGAACCTCATCACTTTTGATCAGTTCCGTAAGTTTTGACCTACAGCATTTTGATTAATATGTAATTCTAAAACATTTAAAATTTCCATTATGGGGGCCGGGGATTTAGCTTAGTGGTTCCAGCGCCTGCCTCACAAGCGCAAGGTCCAGAGTTCAATCCCCAGTACCAAAAAAAAATTAATTAATTAATTAAAAATTAAAATTTCCATTATGTTTTTGTTCCATTGCTAATTTAGAAAGGTGATTTTAATATAAAAGTATATGGACTTTGAAAAACTTGTTTTTAGTTTTTAATGTAATTGTACTGTGATCAGACTGCAGTTCTTAGAGATTTGTTGACACTTGCTTCATACATTAAAATTGAGCAATTACACCTGTAGATTGCACCTCTCACCAACCGTTGTTAATGTTCCATGTGTTCTTCAGATGAATGTCTAATTTTTTCTTTGCAGGTTACTGATAGGTCTCCCACCACCTCTGCAGCTATTATGTATAGTAGCTGCCCTCTTCCTATGGTGCCTTGCCCCCTCCCCTGTGTGACATCATGCCAAGATGGTTGCTCCCACCAAAGAACAAACCCTTCTTCCCATTATGCCCCTGTTCCCGCCTAGAAAGTAACCTAATACTCCTCACCTCCTACCACTAGTGACATCACCGGCTCCTCTATTCCCTAGTCACTACCTCACTCAACCCCGTCTCAGCCCCTACAAGCCCCACCCCAGTCTCTATAAAAGACTCTCCCTCCCCCAGCCATATTGCTTTTGTCTCTCCTTTGTTCAGAGACAGCCCGGCAGATCTGTTCCCCTAATAAAGGCTTATTGTAGTCTGGTCTGGTCTTGGTCTTCGGCCCTTTTACCCGACAGTTACTATGTGTGTTTATTAAATCAAGTTTGTTATTTAAGTCTTTTGTGTCTTTATTAATTGCTGTCTGCTTGACCTATCAAACTGGTATACAGAAATCACCAGTTTTGATGAGAGTTCAAAAACAATTTCTTCCTGGAGTCTTTCACTTTCTACCTTGTATGACCCTCTGATAAGTTTAGGATTGTTGTATTTTCCTCATGAACCACTTTTGTCATCCTATACAGACTCTCTTTATCTCAATAAAATAGATTTGTTAAAAAACATATTTTATCTGATATTAATATAGCTGTTCCAGCTTTCTTTTTCAAATATTTGCTTGGTATTGTTTTTCCCATCATTTTATCTTCAACCTTTCCATTTCCTTATGTTGTAGATGTGTCTCTTAAAAACCATTATTGTTGGATATTATTTTATTTTTAAAATCAAATCTATGTCTCTGGCATGCTTAGCCTGTATTTTTATTGTAATTATTGATATATTTAAATAAACTTGGTTCTGTTCTCTTTGTGCCTTCTATTGCACTTCTTTGTCTTAATGTTTCTTTTCTTGACTTTTTATTTTAAAATGTTATATTGTCATTTTTATCCCATTTTTCTTTGCTTTATTTTTGGTAGTTGTCTACTTTCTATTTTTTCATGTGTGCCCTCAAAAATTTTAATGTCTTTTAATAGAATGTGATGTGTTTCAACAACCTAACCCACCCCAAAGAATACAAGTTCCTAGAACCCTCATCTCCATTTACTTCCTGTGAATTATGTAATTGTTTTCCCTTTTTGCATTCGTCTTTTTTCCTTAAGGCTCCAGGCTTCATTCCCCCACCCCCAACCCCAGTATGGGGTGTCGAACCCAGGGGTGCTCTACCACTAAGCTTAGTCCTTAGCCCTTTTTATTTTGAGACATGGTCTCACTATATTGCCCAGGTTGGGCTCAAACTTGTGATCTTCTGCCACAGCCTCCCAGAGTATTGGGATTACATGTATGTTTTCCCACACCCACCTCAAGGCATCATTTAAAAAAAATGTGTCTTTTATTATTTAATGTGTTTTATTACTGTCTTTATTCATATTTAAATAGTGAATAAATAAGACACTGATTAATACTCATAGTCTTAGTACAGCTGTTTCTTTGGTTAAAACCACCAGGTAACAAAGGTTTTATTTTCATGTCTTTGTTAACAAGGACAGCTTTTTGGTAACCCCACAAATTATACTATCATTTAAAAATACATTTGTTGGACTAGGGGTTTGGTTTAATAGTGGAGAGTGCTTGCCTAGCATGCACAGCTACTGGATTAGATCCCCAGCACTGCAAAAGAAAAAGTGAAAATTTAAAAAATAAAAATACATTTGTTTAGGTTTACTTTATTAGTCATTATTACTTCCTCCATCTCATTCCCACTGTGGTCATTTTTATTTTCTTTGAAGTACGTACATTTTAGAAGTTCCTTGAAGATCTTTTTGTGGAAAACTATTTTTAAAATCTGACTGTCTTTTTTACTATTATTTTGAAAGACAGTTTTCCTAAGTTGATAAAAATTTTATTCCACTACGTTAAAGATACTAAATAGTTCAGTAGTCTTGCCACTTCCACTGTTGCTATTATCAATAATTCAGTGGCCAGCTTAATTATAATTTTTTGTATATGATCTGGTCTTTTGCAAGGGCTATTTTTAGATTTTATTTTTGGGTTCCATTTTTCCCTATATCATCCCTAAATGTCATGTGGTTTTTATTTATCCTTCCTATTATGCCTTGTCTTCTCTTCCTCTGTAAATCCTATTTTTCCTTTACCTGTAAAGATAACCATCCCTTTATGTCTTTGAGTATTGTTTCTCATTTACGGTTTCTATTTTATCTTTCTAGAATTTGAGTTAGATATAGGTTAGATTTTTTTTCATTCTCTTCTAGCTCTAAACCTCTTACAGTAATCATCTTTGCTTTCTAATTTCTTCAGCTTTTTTCCTAGTTCATTATGTTTCTCTTAAGATGTATTTGTTATTCTCTTTAATCCTTCATTGAGCTTTACAAGTTATTTTTTATTTTGAAAATTGTGAAGCTCACAGAAAATCAGAAAGAATAGAACCATAATTACTTGCATACCTTTCACCTAGATTCTCCAGCTTTACTATCTTGCTCCTTTCTATGTGTGTGCATGTGTATCCATATGTGTAGATGTATATACATGTATGTCTGTGTATATGTGTGTATACATGTTAGATGTGTGCTACTTGTATCCATATGTGTAGATCTATGCATACATATATACATGTGTGTAGATGTGTACATATACATATCTGTACTGTAGATGTGTACAACATGTATCTGTACATGTAGATATGTGCATACATGGATCTAGGTATAGATGTGTGAACACATATACATGCAAACATACATATATGTACACACACATCCCATCATACTAGAACCATCATGCATGTTACTCTTAAATACTTTTGCATACCCATTTCAAGAACAAAGACATCCTCTTATACAAACATAACACTACTACTACTCACAAGGAAATCCACACAATTAAAAAAAAACATGTAACATATTGTTCACTTAAACTTCCCTAATTATTCCCCAAATGTCATTTATATCAACTCTTTTTCTGATTCAGGGTCCAATGAGGGTTCACACAGTTATATCTGGCTGTTCTCTTTAGTGTTTCTCATTCAAGAACAGTACCACAACCCATATCCCTCTGTTTGTGACATGAAACCTACAAGGAGTATAGGCAAGGGTGTTCTGGAGAACATTTCACAATCTGGAGGTGCCTCATGATTTTCTCATTGTTCGACTCAGTTCAATATTTCTAGCCAGAATCCCACACAGGTGATGTGTATGTGTCCCACTGCACAGCCTCAGAACTTGGTCATAGGGATACTGCCACATCTTCCCATAGAAAGGCACATTTTTCCCCCTTGTAATTAAGAACTTCATGAATGGTTCCATGAAACTTTAAACAGCTTGCTCCCCAACAATCTCTGATGTAATAGTTTTAGCACTCCTTAATGATAACAGTTATTACATTTGTAATTAACATTAATACATTGTGCATTGCAAATTTGTTTTTTCACCCCAGTTCTATCATTTTCTTCACAGTTATTGGCCCATTTTTTTTACATTAAGAAGAGCTTTTCCTCTCTTTTCCCTTTTTTGGGGGTATTCTTATAGACTTGTGGATTTTTAAAAATTAGTGTTATAATTCTTTACTATTGTTATTCTTTCTGATGTTCAAGTTAGATTAGCCCAGTGGAAAGAAATCCTTTCAAGGCAACTCATTTGTCTTCCTGACACTACATTGTTAGTTTTTTCATATTTTCTTGCTTTTTGCTTGCTCCAGGTTAACATTGCTCATTCCCTGCTGCAGCTGAAATTCCATGTTTCTAAGGAATTAAGAAACCTTGCTCTCTCTTAGTGGGGAATGGTGGCTAGAAACCAAGATCTCGTTGGCATGCTCGTTGCCACTGGGTCATCCCCCTGGGTGTTTTACTTCAATAGACTTCCTTTTTTTTTTTTTTTAGCTCTATTTGGTTGTTTTTCAGATCAATCTAGTCATTAAAAAGGTTCTACCTTGTTCCCTTGAATTATATTTTAATATCATGTAGCAATAGATTTTTGTCCAAATAAAATGAAAGAGAAAGGACAAGAAGAAAAGGAGGAGGAAAAGAGAAGAAAGAGGAGAGTATTCATCAAATCACATGAAGCAGATGATACCTTCGGAACTGGCGTGGGGTCTGCTTTGAGTCTGTTGGGCTGAGCCTGTTGCACTTTGCTTTGAAGTTTATTGGTGGATATTTGTTGATTGCACCTGGGAAGAGAAAAGGATACATGAATCTCTTATAGTAACTTGACTACAGTCTGGGCTGTAACACAGCACTAGTTTGTTGTTTCCAACATCCATCAAGGAAAGATACCAACTAAGGTAGTCATAGGAAATGAAAGTGTATTTCTGGGTTTAGGGAGCTTCTGGGTTTAGACTTTAGACAGTACATTTCTTTGGAATTTAGAGGTGAATTCAATGAACTTTTCAATACAATGCCCTTAGCTGCTCAAGTAGTTAATCATTAGAAGAGACAGCTCCAGTTAGTCTTAATGACCTGTCCTTTAACTGATGTGAACTAATCAGAAAAGTTATTTTTTATTCTTGTGAAGTATCATTCTGCAAAGGGAAAAGGACAACCCTTTATGGTCTGTGTCACTAGTAACAATAATGTCAGTGCCATTTTGAGTTTAATTCATTAGTTACTTATTTCATCTGGAAGTGTATTAATTTTTCATATTAATAAAGTGTGTCCCATACCATTAAAAAGTGATTTTTACAGGAAACTTTACAGATACATATTTTAAAGCATTAAATCAAACACTATTAAATCTCTTCTAATGATGCAGGGTCCTCATAAATGAGTAGCAAGTTTTTCCTGAGCTGAGATATAGCAGTCTCCAAAGCTGTTGTACGAAGAGCTGCACGCTCTGGACTGAAGGGCCTGAGTCTGGGATGCTACCCTTATTGGACACCTGATTTTTAGTTTTTAATCTGTCTTAACTCTGAAATTTCAGATGATTAAACAGCAGTTTTGCTTCATTTAGAAAATGTGTTGATTCTGATGTGGACAGCACTTGATAGCCCACTCTGTTACAGCAGTGTGTTAAATAGGAGTTGCCAGCACAGCTTTCCAATGCTCCAGGAGGGCAGTGAAACAGTCTGTTTTGTGTCAGTCCTTGAAACTGGCACCTGAACTGTGAGCTGCCCAGAGTCAGTGCCTAATGAACATATGTTCCTGTTCAATGGTGAGTGCTAGTATGTGGGGACTGCTATGGCACTGATTCCCTTTACTTTTATGGCTCTATTTTAATGATTGGAGATTTCTAGGGCTCTAAGTTCTAGAAAGGGAGTATACTTGCATCATGGTTATAGTTCTTCAAAAGCATTTAAAACATCTCCAGCATTCTAAGTACTTTTTTTCTTAAAACACCTCTTCCCTTTTAAATGAGGGGAGGATGGAAGCATTCATCTTATCTAATTTGACTAATTACCATGAAATACCACCAAGAATTGTGAGGAAACAGGGAAAGAAATTCTTTTTTTTTTTTTTTTTCAGTACTAGATTGAACCCAGGGTCCTTGCACTGAGCTACATCCCTGGCCCTTTTTAATTTTTTATTTGAGTCAAGGTCTTGCTGAGTTCCTCAGGCTAGGCTAGAGATCTTCTTGTCTCTGCCTCCATCTTAAGACTCCCTTCCAATTTCAAACCTCATTGATTGGAATCTTTTGAGACGCTCTTTTGTTTTACCCTTACAAAAAATTTGTGATTACTTCCTTCAGAATGACCTCTTGCCCCTATTTTTCTCGAGCTTCTCTTTCAGGTTCTTATTCCAGAATATAACAATATAAATTTCATTCTGGGAACCTATTGCTTCCACACCAGTATTGCTTAGACCATAACAAGCATATGAATCCCCTAGGGATCTTGATAAAATGCAGATTCTATTTCAGAATTCGTGCAGTGAAGACTAGAATCTGCATTTCTGACAAGCTCCCTAGATGTGCACTTTGTGGCCCTCAATCTGACTCTGAACAGGAGAGCTCACAATGTAACCTCCTCAGCAATGTCCAAGCCACTCCAACCTCACCTTGTACTACTCTGGTTTTCTTTATAGCTTTAACCAGTCTCACCATGTAATATCAGTGACAATGATCAGTGAGATATAACCAGGACCTTGAACTACAGTCAGGTGCTCTTTAAGCTGTCTATTCAGTTTTCTGTATCTAGACTTCAAAGATCCATTTACTATGAAAATATTCAGAAATTTTACCTAGTGCTCTTCAACCTTCAAAGTCATATCAGAGCATAGTTCCTTTTTGTCCATTCTGTCACATTCAAAATGAGTTTCATATTTTCAAGGCAAGCTCACTCCAAGAAATATGTTTATTTTTTTATTGGCACCAGTTACACTAATTACTGGCATCATAAAAAGTCATTTATGAGGTTAAGAAAATTTTGCAAGCCTGCATCTTTCATTCTGACAGGTAAAATGGTATCTCCTAACACTTCAAAATTTGCCTTCGGAACTTGTAAAAGCAAAGCCAAGAACTGCTTAACTTTTCTTTGGCTTTCTCTTTTGGTGTTGAATGATGAAACGTTCCATCAAAGGGCAGCATGTTAATGTTACATGGCAAAGACTACTTGTAGCTAGAGTCTGGGCTGTGACTTCCACAGCCCAGACTACACTGCTTCATGCAGGCAGATGTGTGAACAGTTGCTTGTTATGATTGCCTCTCCCTAGGAACCAGAGGCATAAAAAAGATGAGCCAGAAAATGAAATGCTAAGGAATCAGAGGTTTCCTCCCTCCCACCATTCATTATTGCATATTTTCCTTTCTGACCCTACAATGCCCTTGAAGACATACAAGAAGTTTCCAAGAATACGTGTCAGCATGTCAGCCTTTTACTGGGGAATACCAAGTATATACGCTTAATGTGCAGGGAAGAGCAAGTTTGTGACTTACGCCTGACTGAGTTTATAAAGGACTTCACAAACTTCACACCATATCTATAGTCAGGTTTATGAATTCGACCAAGCTGGATCAAGTGGTGGTCCAAAGGGAGGCTGGCTAGATCTTCCAGTTCCTTGTCATTCCAAGCAGGGCCGAGGGAAAGCACAAACAGAGCATACCCCTGACACTTGGCTCGAAAAGACTCTTGCTTTAAGGTTTCTCCATCTAAGTGACTGGTTTCTCCAACAGATATCACAAATATAACTTTGTTTTTTCTCAGATTGGGTGTGCTTAAGAAGATATTGTCCAGAGTCCACCGCAAGGCATGACCAATGAAAGTATCTCCATTCAGTTGTTGAACTGATTGTTCCACATGGCGCTTCATGAGGCGCTTGCTGCTGTAGGTGGTGAGGTTGAACTCAGTTCTAACTGGGCTCCTCTGGGTGTTGGGAAGGAAGTTGGAGGGAGCATGGCTCAACAGGGCCACCCGGTCTCCAGTGACTGAGGTCTTGGGCTCTGGGGTGATTTCAAAGTGCTCCAACAGTGCCCCTAGGAAGCCTCTTATGTCTTCAAATTCGGCACTTCCCACATTCCGGGAGCCATCCAGAAGGAAAGCAGCATCCATGTAAGACTGTGTAGGGGGTGGTCTGGCTTGGTCACAAGATGCATCTGGCCTACATATATCTGCAAACCAAGTCACTTCAGGTTACAAAGCAGGTATGGACAGAAAAAGGAAAATCATACCTCAGCTAGTTTGACATTTGGAAACTGCATAATCTTTGATATTTTAAAGCAGTTATGAAATGATTTTAATATCAACAGCAGCAAGACTCTCCAGTATGCAGCTTGAATCTATGTCTAGAAAGTACAGATTTTATACCCATGTATCCCCCACACTCCCCTCACTAATGTATTAGTTTTTAAAATATTAAGCTGCTTTCAAGTGAAGTTTAATATTGGCTATGTTAAGTTTATAAAGTCTGAAGTGAGCAATTTATCTCATGAAGACAAGAATATACTGTATTACACTACGATCTCTCTAGACTGACAATATGCAGGTTAAACCAATGGCCTTCATCACTATACCGTCACTGATTTATGAAAAATAATCTACTTAAAGTAAAAAGTAATTTTTCTCATTGCAATTGTTTTGTTTTTGGTTTTGGTTTTTTTTGTACCAGGGATTGAACTCAGGACCTTGAGCTTGTGAGGCAGGCAGTGGGACCAATGAGCTAAATCCCCGGCCAATTTAAATGAAACTTTGTAATTTTATGTCTGTGTGCAGTCCCTGTGCACAAAGCTACAGTACATCTTTTTTGTCTTCATAGTGCTTATTAGTTGAATGCATAATACAAGTTGTGTGATTAGAAATATTGCTTATTAGTGGATTTCATAAAAGATGAGGCCATTTTTATAAATATGCATATCTCATTGAAAAAAGAATGCATTATAAAAAAAACAGAGTGGTTTTTTTTGAACCTGACCACAATGAATGTTCATAAAATAAACTGCTAAAGGAAGAATATTAGAGGTGACCTAATCTTCTAATTTTATAGAACAGATTGAGCCAGGAGAGTAAATCATTTTGCTCAAGGACATACCAGTTACTAGAAGTTTCTACATATGAAGTCAGGATTTTATTGTTAGAAATGAGGCCATGTGATACAGGCGTGGGGAGGCCTTTGGCCTAAGTGCTGGGATTCTTGAATTCTGATCTTGTCATGGTACCAAACACATTGAGTGCCTCTGGCCAGGCCTCTGCTGGGCCTCAATTCTGCAGTTTCTCTATGCAATAGGATAAGTGGATCTAACTAGGATCAGATTAACCCCAAAGTCCCTTCCAGGGCTGACATTCTGCCTAGTTTTTTAAATAAAGCTAATGATTTGAGGATGAGAACAGCCTCTTTGAAAACCAGAGAGAAAAGAGAAATAGAATAATATATGTGCAGACAGCTCGTATGTAGATTAAAGGCATGGGCCATAAATAAAAACTGCTAAATGAAAGACCAAGGACCAGGGTACAGATCCCAGGGAATGTAGCAACCTTTCTAACTTCAGTAGTGCTCATAGATTCAATGAAGATGGCTTTGTACAAGTTAGGGCTCCCCTACTGAAACTTAGTCAAATTTTATGACCTTGTGTAATGGTCAGATAGCAGAACAGTCACCTATGTACAAGGCAGTTTCTAAAATCAAGGATAGCAGGCTGCTCATTTGCTCAGTTTTGTGGGGGTTTTAATTGCAGAAAAAGACAGGCAAAATACCTTCCATTACATGCCTGAGAGACAAAACAAAGGTTTAAGCCAAGACATGGAGCCAAAATCCATCCCCAGTCACATATGTGCAACTTTTGACACCATTGTGACTGACATATTTGAAGATGCAACAAGAATCCACAGGGTGGGATGTGTCTCCACCCTCAGCACTGTTAGGCCTTCCTGCTATAAGATTGTCAATGCATAAACTAGTGATGACGATCCCCTTGGAGACTGAGTGCCTAAGCTGCAACCCAAAATTTACTTATCACAAAGTGCCAACACTGCAGTTAAACCTGAATGCTCAGCTGCTGGGGTGATTCTGGAGCAATTTGGCTTGTGTACCAACAGAGAGGGCTCTGCGTGCTTGCTGTGGCACATGTGCTAGAGGTTCACCAGCACTGACCTAAAACAACCCTGTGCAACTCAGAGAGAGAGGGAGAGACTGATGATTGATTAGAAGGAAGCAGAGGGAAGACAGAAGGGAGAGGGGTTTGGGGAAGACTGGAAATCTGAATGCTCCCCTAGGATCACCATCTCTCAAAAGGTCATTTATATGCCAAACACTGGCATCTCACTGATATACATGGAGGACAGGAATCAGGCATTTTCTTCAGGGCTGAATAGAGAGTTCTGGGAAGAAGAATGAGGCCTCCATTCCTCATAAACTAGAGGCAGTTGAGAGCCAGCTTTCTTGGGTTTGATATGGTGGTGAGGCCCTGCGCAAATTATCACATCTCTTTAAGCTTCATCTTCCTCCTCTATAAAATAGAGCCAATAATATTTCAAATATTTTAGGGTGATTATAACGATTGAGTGACATAATTCATGTTGTGATTAAAATAGTGCTTGAAACATACACAGTAGTTTAAATCTCAATGTCATCATCACCACCGGTATTACATAAAGTGATTAGAGCAGTGTGTGACCTTTCATAAACACTTGGTAATGGTCAGCTGCTATGTCCACTGGTAATATCAGTGGCTCCTACTGTCTTCATAGTTATTAGAACACTCAAATGAAAAATAGTGTTTTCCAACTGGACCTGTAGAAGTTGTATATAAAACACTGCAGACCAATCAGAACTGCAAAAATCTTTCAGATGCCTAACATTTGAGTACCTTTGGAGACTCTTTTCAATGAGAAATGCATGTTTGCTGTTTCTATGTCTACAGTACTAAAACTATTCCAAGCAGATAGGAGGGTACTGAATTGCTTTAAAGTATTTCTTTGGGGCTGTGAACATCTGAAATTTAGAAAACTCACAAAATACTTTACAGCATGAAAAACCTGGCAATGAGACAGGCTAAATTTTTTTCTAAAAAATCATTACTGTTTCCTGGAAGCAGCATAAGCAGAGAGGCCTGGAATGTAAGCCTCCTCCTGGGAAACATAGGAGGAGACCCTGCAGGCTGAGCTGACCAGCTCCATCTGTGGAAGATGCAGTGTGACAGAGGCCCAGAGCCCCAGGAGTCCTCCCAGGGCCATGCACGTCCCTGCTGCCAGGTTCCAGCTGCTCCTGCCAACAGTGACTCAAGGCACTTAACAGGCCTGATCAAATTATCTTCTCTCTGTACCTCTTACCATAGCAGAAAGTGCACCGTTGGAGTCTCTCTAGCACTGGTGAGTCGTCAATCCTGGAGGGAACCACTATGACTTGAAAAGAGCCAGTGTCGTCAATCTGCAAGAAGCAGGAGCAAGGGAAAGAACCGCTTAGTGAGTTGAGATACAAGAACCTCCCTCCACTGTTCAGAGGCCTTAGAGCCAGAGAGGGATCACTGCTCCTTCTAGGAAGGCCAAGGGGATGTGCCGAATGTCGGGGCGGCTGAGGGTGTTGCTGTGTCAAACCCGACCTTCCCTTTCGCTGTGTAACAATTACTTTGCCTCATCTGTAAAGCGGGAAGGCTAGGATCATTACCTAACAAGGTCCTGTGAGCACTAAACAAGTTCACCATTGTGAAGTGTTGGGAGCAATGCTACATAATTCTAAGGAAAAATCATTTGAGTAGGCCTAGTTCTCCTGCCTACAGGCCAGCAATAACACTCCAAGACATACTTCCATTTTGGCCTCAGGTCACAAGGGAGATCTCAATGATCCCATGATGCTGTAATGCTCCAGGACAAGACCACACCTGTGGGAGACGCCCTGCGAGGAACCAAATCTTCATCTGTGTAGTTCCTGGGAGGAACTAAATCTTCATCTGCATAGTTCCTCATTGTTCTTAGATTTCCGCCGCCCCCACCCAGTCTTTTGTTACACCTTGTTCATCCCAATATGATACTGAAATCTACATTATTCATTTGTTACATTTGTTTCTTTGGATGTACTAAATAAAAGGTGCTGCAAGCTAGGGGTCTTTGTCTTTGCTGCCCAGAGCAGCACTGATCAGACCCAAAGCTCAGCTTCTTCTCAGTCTCATTTGTCTACCTTTCCTGTAATTCGCCGTGTGCTGCTGTGGCTCGCAGGAGACCAGGACTCACTGCAGAGGTTCTGGTAACGTCCCCTTCCCCTGTTCCCTACAGTGAAGCACTTCCTGGCACAGAATGGGTGCCGTACAGGTCAGTAAAGACCACAAAACATTTTCATCTCCATCAGTTCAATAACCCAATGAGTGAGTTCTTATTTTCATTGGCCTCATTTTACTGTTGGAGAAACAGAAGCTCAAAGAAAGGCTGATCAAAAGACACTGGACACTGAAGTCATTTAACAGATAGCTCCCATCCAGTCCCTGAGAAACATGAGAAATCACAGGCTGCTCTTCAGAAATGTCTTTAAATTTCCCCTGTGAATGAGTTGAAGCTGGCTTTGAAATATAGACTCAGATCCACATCTAGGCAGTTCTCTCCTCTGAAACTCTCCAACAATTTTCACTTTCCCTCCCGTAGTTAGTAACCCACCTGGGAAGTTAAGGATACAAAGTAGGGAGAAGATAAAGGAGCTCCAAATAATCAAGAATAATGATTCTTGCTGGTTAAATGAATCAGAGATAATTAGTAAATGAAGAAAAATTGTAAGTGTAATCCCATCTAGTGCCTAAGAGTTGGGTCAAATTACATTTAAGTTTTCCTTGTGAATCCTACTGTCTTAAGCTAATGGCTTCCTCTCTCCGGGAAGTCTCCTTCCACACTTTTTCCATAGAGATAGGACTTTGGTAGTTGTGGTTATCTGGAGAGGTTCCATTTCTATGACTGAGCCAACTGGACCAGAGAAGGATTTTTGAACCAGCCAGATCCATTCTCTTAAAAATTTGAATTTGGGGTCCTAAGGGCTGAGAGTCCATCCATGTTTAGTGGCATGAGCTCACAGAGCTGCCATCTGGCCATAATATGTTTTGTGGGCTGAGAAGCAAGGGAGCTGAGAGGAAGGGAAGGATGGGGAGAGGATGTTGCTAAGGCTTACTGTTCTGCCCAGTTTGTGTTCTGTGTATAATGGATGGGGAAAGCTGTGCTCAGCAGATTCCTCTCGGGGGCCCACTGTTTTGCCTTCCGGAGCCTTCTGGGTGAGAGGGAAAGACTCTGAGGGAGCATATGGTAACTGAAGTTTTTGTCTAAATTTCTTGACACAAATACATACAGTGCCCAGGGAAAGAGAGAAGAAACAGAAGGGAGTGAAAGTGAACATTGTGTGGTGTCAGAGAAGAGGGGAAGAAATACTCTGTGATGGCAGAGCAGAGATCTAGAAGAAATTTTAGGAATCACAGAAACCAACCTCATGATTTTATAAATGAGGAAAGTGAGCTCTAGAGAGGGTAGAATCTAAAAGGCTGCAGTTTAAGGTTTGCTCTCCCCAAACAAGATCTACCTTCCGTCTTCTATATGAGCTATGTTTATGATTACAGTTGTATATCAGTGGATCCTAACATAATTCAGAGCTATGTTTCTCAAGATGTTGCCCAGGGATCCCAGGGATTGCTGTCATTTCCTAACCAGTCTTGTGTCTTACATATCTACAGTGTAATAACTTCCATATTTCTGGCAATAGCCTCACTTGGCAATTCAGGCTCGTATTTAATCATGTATCAACACATTGATGTCAATTTAAAAGCAGTGTTATCCTTCTTGTTGATCCTAGGGGGTTGCTTTGCTGATGAGAGTCCATGGGAGATCTGGCCTCTCCTCTCTCACCAAGTAATTTCATAATAAAGTTGGAAAGGTATAGTTTTGGAGATTACTCATCCTATTACTTACCATTGAAATAACTATAGTAGCATACTATAGAAAAGTCTCATAAACTGAATGTAGGTTGGGGATTTAAACTAAAAGGGTCATTATCATTCACTTTTCTTAGGGTCATTTTCTTATGGATTCAAAGAAATACCAGCTTGGATGAAAATGTAGCTATGATGTTCACAGATGGACAGTAGAAGCATTCAGGATATGCTTCTGGATGACATCCTTTCCTCCTAGACATCATGGAGCTCCATGGTGCACTCAAGAAAAGTACAAGTAACATTATGGATAATGTTTCTTTTGACAATTCTATGAATTGAAATGATTTTCAAAATAAAAAGATTGAGTGTGCAACATGCTAAGATTTCCTGTTCAAAACATTTCCCTCCAATTTCAACTTTTTTCAATTACTAGAATCATCTATAATATGAAATAATAAATTTAATCTTTCTCTTACTTGCAATGCCAAATAGCAGAGTAAAAGAAAAATAAATAGACTAGCTTAAAAAAAGGGAGGCACAACTTCTTATAAGAATATTAGAAAGGCAGAACCACCCTAGATTTGACATCTTAATAGATAACAAGTAAGATTTCATCAGAAGTAAGAGAGAATTGCCAACCAAATGTAGAGGACAAATCCTAGTGACAAAACCAACATGAGATTAAGGTCCCTCCAGTCAAAAATGGCCTTCCATTTCAGAAGCACAGCTCAACAGTCCAGTTCATGCTATGGTGAAAAATTTCCAACACGGGCACCAGAGTTATGTGCTGAGAAACAGAGAAATCAGTTCACTTTGCTGAAGCAGCTGCTTTTGAGTCCCACACGTCTGTGTTCAGGAAACCTAATTTCACCTGAGCCTACTGTGCTTTCAAATGAACGGAGATTTTGAAAAGCCATTGTCAGTATGAAACAAATTAGGGTTTTAAAATGTTGCCCTCAACAAAGGCGCCTTATGTCAGTAGACTTCTGAGTTCTGTTCTTAAAAATAATGAGCAACACTTTAAGCAAAGGTAAAGTACAATGGAAAAGAATGGGCAGGAGGAAGAGACAGCCAACAGAAGTAGTTGATGCAATTTCTCTTCTGTAATGTCAGACACTGATTTCTAACCAATGTAATGACACATTTGTCCCTATCTGGAACCCTTCCAGACTGTCTAGGTCCATCCTCTCCTACCAGTGTGGTCCTTTGGTTTTCTGCCTTACTCTTTGTCCTCAGAGCCTAGGATGGTACCTGGTGTGCGTGAGGTGCTATTTGTTACATCAGTGAACCTTGGGACCAGTTCTGACTTTATCACTGCCCAAGGGGGTTACGGGCCAGTGCTGATAAGATTTAAGGGGATATGTTTTCAAAAATGTGAACCTTCATCAAGACAGTCTGTAGGTAATGTAGGTAGAATCAAGAGACCAGACTGGTAGAGCATGCCTATAGTCCCAGGGCTCTGGGTGGTTGAGACAAGAGGACTGCAGCTTCTAGTCCAGTCTGAGAAACTTAGCAATTTAGTGATATCCTGTCTCAAAATAAAATTAAAATCAAAATGGGTGGGGTGGGGTGGGGATGTAGCTCAGTATGAAGGCCTTGGATTCAATACCCAGTATCTCATACACACAAAAAAGCTAAAGTTTCCTATTTCAGATTATTAAGATTCAAAGTTTAAAAAAAACACCAAAATATCTTTTCATATGTTATATGTTGTACAAAGTGGGTTAAGTAAAATTGTGTCAGTTTAAGTTTATATGACAAGTGCCATTGATCATCTGCATCAATATATAAAGTTGTCTCTTATTTTGTGACTAAACAAAGCCAGTGGATGCAGGACTGAGGAAGACTCTTTGTATAACTAGAATGACTTATAGAATTTTTAAACTGCTACCTTTTCTAGCAGCTTTATTTGGATAGCCTGACCCCAGTCTTCTGTAATTTACATGCATTTTCCTTTTTGACATAACGAGCTCTTTATGCGCATAATTCTTAAAGTTAGCTCAATGATGCAAATAGCAGTTCCAATTCCTGTACTACCAGATTTCCTTGTTATTAAACAGGTCTTAATTTAACTGTATCAAGCTATTAAGTAATGATAATTAAGGCAAAAGACATCATTCTGAGAGCTTCAGTATAGGCACAATGTTGCACCATTTAATCTTCACATCAATTCTAGGAAATAAGTACAGCTTTCCATATTTTACAGATGTGAAATACACTGCAACTCTGCTATGCTTATTCAAACACTTTTCTGTATAAAAAATCATAGAGCTGGAGAAGACCTCCAAAGCCATTTAACTTATCATGGCCTCCAGGGAAGACAGGTGTCACACATATGAGTGACTGTCTCTACACAAGGCCTTCAGAAGAAGCTGGTATCTTGGCCACCTGCATTAAATCCATTGAATCCATGCCAATAATAAACCAAATTGCCTTCTACAAGTTCTTAAACAGAACCTGAACTGTTCTACTGCTATTCTCCTGAGTTTTCTAGTAGAAGATTTAGCAAAGTTGGATTTCAGCAAATTTTCTTCAGTGATAAGTTTTCTTTTACTCAAAGACAATGACTTAGTTCCTTATCTTTCTTTCTCTAAATGAAGTAGCTTTCAAGTGGTTGGACTTTTTATTTAGGATGTATTTTCTAATACTTTTGGGCTACTTTTTGAGGGCCTTATTTTTACTATAACTATAAAGCACATTAATTGTAAAAATCAATCCTGGGACTCATCTTAATGGTCTGTCTCAGCATAAATGGAGAACCAGACACCATGCTGGGCCAACAGAGCTGCCTGGAAGGGTCCTTTGCAATTTAGTGAAACCCTGTTTCGAAATAAAAAATTTTAAAAGGGCTGGGATGTAGCTCAGTGCAAACACGCTGGGTTTAATCACTAGTCCTGGGGGGGAAAGTTTAATCCTTAATTTAAGAAGCTATAAATGGAATGGCTTTCCTTTGTACAATCTGGATCATCACATAAGTGATAAAGTTATAAAATCAGCCAATTGATTTTTATCTTACAGGAATGAATACCATCCTGACTATCTCAGTGATCTCTATGTCTATTGGTCTCCCGACTTAGTATGTTTAGACGCAGGTGCAATCCAGAGAGAGACATGTTTGAGAAAGCACCAGAATGCTGGCCTCCTGTTCTGATATCTCCACTTCCTATCTGTGCAAACCTACACAAGTAGCTTAACTTCTCTGGGCTCAGTTTTTCTTATCCATCAAGTGAGAATGACAACTGTCTCTTATGCATATTATTTGTGAGACTCAAACAGGATAGTGAATATAAAAGGCTTAGCATGTTCCTGGTACATAATAATAAATAATTCTTCTCATGCTGGGTTGTTAACCCCGCATGCCCCTGATAACTCAATTCTATCACATGAGGCCTGAACACAAGCCAAGTGCATGACTACAGATGGTTCTGTGACAGGCTCCCCTCACCGAGAATGCTCGCCTGATGGAGGGCACGTTGCTGAAAGCAATCACCACTGGCGTGATGTCCAAGGCCCCGAACTCCATAGTGGCCGTGGTGATGGCCTGGACATCGGCCGACTGCCCGCTGCTGAAAAACGTGGCAATTCTCCTGGTGTGAGCCCCGGGAAGTGTTCGCTTGAAGACGTTCCTGGAAATAAACCTCATTGCTCTGCCAGTCTCCCTGTTGTCAAGGGATCTTTCGTAAGGAAGAGCTTCAATTTCCCTGAGCAGCTGGTCCTTCCGGTAGGTATCAGAGAAGCGCACCAGGTGCCTGGTGTGCGAGCCATAGGCGAGGATGGCGACCCGCGCTCCCACGGGGCAGCCGCGCTCCTGGACCTTCAAGTCTCTCACCAGGGAAGCCACCATCCCCTTCATCCGCTCAAAGTCCTGCTCCGTGACATCCCGGGACTGGTCCAAGGCAAACACCAGCTCCGTGGGATGCACCGGGCATTCGGGTTTTCCTAAATGACAAGCGGGTACCTCTTAGCTCTTAGGATGCTTATTTTAAAAATAGGAGACAAAATAATTTTAAATGGTAACTATTCAAATATTTAAACATTAAGTAATTTAGATATTCAAACATGTAAAATATTAAATATTAAAATCTTGAATAATTTTTAAGTGCTATTCTAAAAGCCGAGTGTGCCCTTTTCCATCAAACATAAAAGAAAAATGTCTAGAATTCAGTGTGATTTGTTATGAAATTTGTAAGTTAATTACCAAATTCATTCTGAACAGAGTCCCTGGAAGTTCTTTCTTATCTACAGAGGCTGGATCAAAGGTATACTTTGTTGCTATAACTTAAACTACAACAAATTCTTTAACAAGGGTTAAAAGGGCAAAAAAAGAACAGCTGTAAAAGTTCCTCTGATAATTTCAGAAAAATCGGAAGAGAACTGACATGTAGTATATAGAGCAGAGTTAGACATAAGGAAGGTAGACAGTAAAGAGTAGGGTTTGGAGCTGACCCAAATGCTATGTGACCTCATCTAAATTACCTATCCTCTCTGCCTCAGTTTCCTTATCTGTGAAATTTGAGTCATAATATCATGATTACCTGTTGTGAGGACTACATGAACAGCACAGGTAAAGCACTTAGAGCAATGGTGCCTGGTACATAGTAGGTGCTCAACAAATGTTAGCCATTACTTTAATAATTATCATTACAGACTTTTCCATTGTGTGAGAAAACAACTATATCACTAAAAGGAGAAGAAAACTTTAACTGATAATTTTTATTCAACAGTTAAAAATTCAAGTTAACCAATAAGTATGCCTATTAGAGAAATTTTGAATTATGCTTATTAAATTCTAATATGTTAATTGCATATTTATGTATCCTTATTCATTGGTTCAAATTTACTCTAATCCCACTCCCCTACTTTTATCATCCTCGGCAATTTATATTTGATGATCTAATTAATGTTTGTTTCTCCTGATAATTTAGGGTAAATGGAGACAAGGATTATGGCTTTGTTGATCCTCTAGGTTATTTAGTTCCAGCCAGAGCGTAGACATCTAATAAATGTTGTATGATTGAAAAAGGGACAAAAAAAACAGTTTTCTCCAACCAGTTTAGGAAGAACAAAACTTTAATAGCATGTAAAGTTCATAGCTTTCAGATATAGGCTGGTCTAAAGGAATCCCAGTGATGTGTTTCCAGTATGAAATTTAAGAGATAATAACACAGCCTGAGCCCCCAGGATCTACATAAGGAGCTCAGGACCTCAGACTTGCTGGGCTGGCCTAGGAGTCAGTCTCTTCTATGGGCCACCTGGGCTTTCCCACAATGGCACAGATTCTTACTTCCTTCCAGTTCTTGACTCCATGACCTTCATGGGCAAAAGGAGTTATCACCTGGCCCGAGAGAACGAATGCTCAAGCCTAAGTCAAATTGTCTCCTATAACTCTAACAGGCTGAGCAGGTTTCTTTTTTTAAATTGAGGTCATATTAATTTTACAATTAAAAATGACTAGAATTATGGTCAAACATGAAATTGGTTCCATAGCTTTTTGATTAGGTTGTTATTTACATATAGGAACAACAAAATTTCAAGTGCAAGGAAGAGATAAAGGAATAAGAAAAGATTCACAGCCCTGGCTGAAGATTTGTTAAAATTCAAATTTTCAAGAAAAAACACCCAAGGGCTAATTCACCTTGCAAAGTACAACCTCTGAAACCAAGGAATCCCATGGATTCTGAAAAGCACAAGGCCAAACTTCCGTGGTTCCCAGGAGGCCTCCTGGAGGATGGATAAGCTTATGCAAATCCAGCTCTCATAGCTCCATGGCTACACACTGCACACTGGTGGCTGCTCCTTGACACAGAGCAGGTGACAGAAAGGATAGAGGGGGGCAGGATTAAGCCAAGCCACTGCCATGGAGCTAAAACACAACACTAACGGCCCTCATCCAGGCCACCACTGTCTTTGCCTTGCTACCACCACACCCTTCCAAGTGGTCCTCTGGCCTTTACACTGACACCCCCTACAGTGCGTTCTCCCCCACAGGTGTACAAACAAGCCTTAAAAAATTGTCCATCAGATTGAGCTCCTCCCTGCAGTTCTTTCAACAGACTCCTCAGTACCTTCCCGTCACAACGCTAATCAAATCCAGCCTCCACATTGTAATCAGCAAAGCCCAGATTGTTCCACCCCTGCCTACATCTCCACTTTTCACCTGCCAAACTCTCCCCATCACTGTCTCTCAGTCACCTGGGCTCTGTTAGTCCCTAGGAGATGCTGAGTTCTGTCCTGTTCTGTGGCCTCTGGGGTTCCCCCTGCCTGGCTGTGGGTCCTTTAGTCAAAATTCAAGTTCACTGCCTCCAACTCTGTGAACAAGCGTGTCTCCTCTCTCCTCACATTAGTACCAGAAGCATCTATGCTTTACCTATTTCAGAACAACAAGAGGATTTTGAATTCTTCTGTGTTTTTATTTATTATCTGGATCCTCCAGGAGAATGGTAGTGTCTAAAGACAGGAATCCTATTATTCAACTCAGTATCCCAAGTGCCTAAAACACAAACTATGTTTTTGGAAACACTTATCTGTACACATTTGCAGTGCATAGTGAGTGCATTCATTGTGAGGAGATGGCACGTGTAAACCACGCACCTTAATCCTTTCCTCACCTTTTTCCTTCCCCTCCCTCCATCTCTTGGCCCCCTTCCCTTTTGTAAAAGATCTATCTCCCTGTTGCTTATTATCTTTTATTTTTCTCTTTAACTCACTTATATTTTGGGTTTCCCAAATAAGAGAAACCATGTGATATTTAAGCTTGTGTGTCTGATTTATTTCACTTAACATTATGGTCTCAAAGTGCATCGATTTTCCTAGAAATGACTCATACTTAACCTTTTTATGCATAGTAGTACTCCATTGTGTATAAACACCACATTTTCTCTATCTGTTCATCAGTTGATGGACATATAGGCCACTTCAAAGATTTAGCTATTACGAATTGTGCTGCTATAAACTGGGTGTGCATGGATCACTGTAACATGGTGTCTTTAACTCTTTTGGGAAGATGCCTAGAAGGGGAATGGGTGGGCCACATGGACTGCTTATCACATAATCTTTCAATAAATATTTGTGAATAAATGAACAAACAACCGGGGGGCAAGGTTTGGTGAGTTCATATACAATTTATAAAGGATAAATCTATTATCAGGGAGATGATAGGTTTATTTAAAAAAATCATTCAAGAAGCATTTGTAAAATACCTGAAAACTAGTGCTGAGAGATTTGTGTTTGTGTGCACGGCACTGGGGATTGAACCCAGGGAGGCTCTACCACCAAGCTATACCAACAGCCTCTTTTGATTTATTCTGAGAAGTTGAATATTAACAGTAAGCAAGAGCTGCCTAAGTTTTTAGAATTATCTGAGTGGCACTTTCCACTCAATTGCTATCTGATTATCCCTACTTTTATGCTGGCCTCTGCATCTTCATCCTTAATGACTTGATTACAGAGATGGAGAGAGAGAGAGAGAGAGAGAGAGAGAGAGAGAGAGAGAGAGAGAGAGAGAGATACACAGAGAGAAAGAAAAAGAGAATATATGAGAAAGAAGGGAGAGGAAATATTTTTACAAAAATAGTAACAGTAAGGTCAATGGTGTTATTAGTCCTAAAGTATTATAAATACTATAAATGCCTCCTGGGTTGTGGAGAAGTAGCTGTGGAGCTCATCTAGCACCAAGCAAGTGATTGCAAGTAGGACTCTGTTACCAGTGTGAGGCAGCAAAGAAAGCCCAGATATAAATATCAGTTGGCAGACAATCCATTGCTCTAACTCATCTTTCCAAATATGTGACACTTTAGAGCTTGATTAAAACATGTTATAAATAAAGATTACTCACCATGTCCACCAGCTGGGGAAGAAGAACAAAGGAGATTGGGTTATTATTTGGTAGGAAAACACAGTTTTATTCTATGTAGGAATCACGGCAGCGATGCCTTGTTTGCATTTGGAGATGACTCAAAAATCACGGCAATGGAATTGGGAGAAAACTCAGACAGAGCTCAGTATCTTGGTGAAAGCACTATGCCATCTACCAGGAACAGGCTAAGAGAACAAGAGGGAAAATAAATCAGCAGCCTGCAGCCGAAGGTCAGAAGTAGAGACCCTCCTCTTGGGAGGGGGAGAAATGGGGATGGGCAATCCATTTGGAAAGTTTGAAGATCCCAACTTCTCTGTACTCTATATTTTCTTCATTCACATATCTATAGTTATTACAACACACACACCTATAGTTATCAATTATACATACACATACACGTCTATATGTACATATAGTATAAGCATATGCAGGTTGAGTATCACTTATCTGAAATACATGGGATTAGAAGTGTTTTTGACTTTGGATTTTTTCAGTTTGGAATTTTTTTCATATACATAATGAGGTATCCTTGGGGTGCACCCAAGTCTAACACATAGTTCATATTTTTTCCATATACACCTTACCCAGAGGGCCTGAAATTAGTTTTGTACAATTTTTCAGTGTGCCTATGTTCTGACTACAACCAGTCATGTGAGGTCAGATGTGGGATTTTCCATTTGTGCCATCAGATCAGCACTCAAAAAGTTCCTGATTTTGGAGCATTGCAGGCTTCAGATTTGGGCTGGTCAACCTGTATGTGTGCATATTAACATTTTATATAAGATTAGAGGTAGATTTAGTCTGAAATAAATCAGCATTAGCTTTAAATCTGCACTCTCCAAGGTGGCAGCCATGAGCCATAGGTCATTACTTAAATTTCAAATCAATAAAATTAAATGAAATAAAATATTCAGCTTTTTGGTTGCACTATCCACATGTCAAGTGTTGAAAGCCACATGCAGCTGGCGGCTCCTCTACCTGGCAGCATGTGGACATTTCCATAAATGTGGAATGCTTCATTGGACAGCACTAAATTAGGCATCTCTAATTGTCAGAGGCTCTGCCTGGGAAAGGGCTGGCCATGTTTTTCAAACCAGTGTGTTTTTATACAATATATATAATTTATATGTTATTTGCTTTCTTGTACTAAATAACACTTTTGAAATAACTTGTTACCTACTTTTGGGTTATAATTTTGTACTGAATCTTTCAAACTTTAAAAGATCAGCTACCATTGCATGTGGGTCTTCCCTGAAGTCATATAGTTCACAGGCCAGAAAACCTGCACTAATTCAGCTTTGAAACAGCCACTCTTCACAACCCAGTATATAACTTTCAGTCTTGTGATGGTTCGATTCTGCCATGAACAGGCAGAGTTCTGATTGCCTTTGAGAACAAATGCTCCTTACAGGAACAGGCTCTGATTTGTCTGTTTTTCTTCTTCAAAATACCTTGAGGGAAATTTTAATTCTTCCTTTCAGTCCTAATCTTTATTTGGGAAATAAATATATGTGTAAATGAACATTCAACATGATAAATACTCAGCTTGTAATCTTGTGCGTGGGTTTGTTTAATGATATCAATACATATTGTGAAAGAAGAAGCTGTCATCAAGGCTTTAAAACAAATTCCAAAAAACATTCACCAACCTGTCAGTTACCGTCAGGCGTTAATGACCTCTTAAAAGAAGTTCAGTGTGACTCTCCACTGATTTATTTCACCATCAGGACAGTTTTGACCTCCAATCTCAATTTTCCCGGGGCTAAAAGCACTAGATAAATTACTGCTTAGTGCTTCCCAAAGACTCAGTGGGAGCTAATAATAGTCACCAGTCCATGCTAATTCAGAATTTATGTGGTGACATCTCTAATTTTAAGGAATTGGCTGTTAAATTGTCTCAATTCTGAGAGGAGCACTTTCTGCTTTCTTTCTAGTAAAGCTGACAAGTTGGGGGTCATGTTAAGCAAGATACTTACGACTGTGGTCCCACACATACTGAATGAGCTCACATGTCTGCAGTTCAAAAATAAAGGAGAGAGTTAAGTAACAGGCTACTAGGTCACCAAGTTGAACCAAATTTAATGGAGTGCTTGATACACTCTGCTGGAGTCAGGAGATACTTACAGAAAATGAAGCCAATCCTTTGGCCCCTTTCACACCCTAGGGAAACAGACAAACAGAAAAATGTTTTATGGCTTAGATACATATCAGCAGCCAGAATGTGCACCAACATTACTCTGAGAAAGTGAAGGCTTTTAAAAGGTTTTATCCTTATTAAGTTAGAGGCAACAAAGAATCCAGGCAGGATACTCATCACCTCATTAAGAATAACATGAGAGGGCAACACGCTGGCGGCAGCAGGCTCCATGCACACAGGCCTGCAAGGCCACTTCCCTTCAGCTCCTCTCAGGTCCAGGGTCTAAGGAGAGAGCTGACAGTTTGACAGAGGCATGTGAAGCCTTGGAGCAGACCTAGAGCTCAGACCTGTGAAGGCTGAGCCCTTGGTGCCCACTGCCTTCCTGAAAGGAAGATAGATACATCTTCACCCCTATGCTTTCCCTCCACCACTGAGCAGCAGCCATCATCAAACCTGCATCTGTTCCCACCACTGCTGGACCAGATGCAAACTGAACATCTGGAAATGTTGTCCTGGCTGCCTCACAGAAATAAACACATGTATATGTATTGAAGTGGAGATAGAACAGAGTAGAATTAGTTTTAATTTTGTGTTCAACCCTATCTTTGGAACAAGAAGAGTCTGGCTACAATCAAAGAGAGATACCCAAGGAAAAGTGCCACAGCCCCACCCACACTCTTGAAGTAAATAAGTTCCTCATGAATAAAACTTTGATCGTGTTCACTATTTATTAGTTTCACTTCCATTCATTCATGATTTCTTACTGAACAAAGGAAAAGGACAAGGAAGGATAGATGAGCAAAATTCACTGATAATTGAAAGATCTCACTTTAATTTTAGCTTTTCATTTTCTCCCTCAATCCCCCCACCCCACCCACCTCTCAAGAGATACATTTAGTTGGCATTTTTTCCTCTTTCCTCAGAGCTCATGATATAGTGAAAATAGTTGTGAAGCAGGAGCAGCTGAAGGCATAAGCATTTGGACAATGAAGGTTCTATGCTTTTAAAAAAATTAGTACATGTTTACAGTACATAATGAACACATTCACTGTGGGTAGTTGGCATATGCACATGACACATCTTAATTATTTTTACATCTTCCCCCTCAACATCTCTTGGTCACCTTCCCCCTTGCAGAAGATCCTGGTATGATTTGTGCCTTCTCCACTTACCTTTCGCCCAGGAGGTCCTGGCTCCCCAGGGAATCCCAGCTCTCCTGGAAGTCCAGCAGATATCTCAAAGTAGAATTTATTTATTTAAAATCATATCTATACATACATGTTTAAAATTCAAATTTAAAAGAATTTAAATTTCAAAGATGAAAATTCAAACATGAAAATTTCATTTTCATTTTAGAAAAAAAATTGAGAGATTTCCAAAACACACAAAGAAGGAAAAAACAAAATCCCCAGTAATCCCTTCTTCTCAGTCATCCTTATTAACGTTTTTGTGCCTTTTTTTTTCATCCTTTTGGTGTTAAGATATATAGTCTTTCTTTTCAATTATTTGGATCATACTTTTTCCTGTTGCCTTTTAAAACCAAAGATATATCTTTGTAGGTTTTCATGTTACTAAATATTTTCATGGCAGCATAGTAGTCTATTACACAGGGTGCTATGATTTATTTAATCAGTCCCTTATTGTTGGCATTAGGTTTATTATTGTAGTAAACAATGCTATTATAAAGTTATATGTATAATTCTGCTGATTAGGGAAGATTGATAGGGCTGAAATTGTTGAGTCAAAGGAGAATTTTTATCTAAATGAGATGAAAGTAGCTAAACTGAAAAACAAAAATTTCAAAACTTAAAAAACAAAATTCAAATATAGAATACCCTAGGACAACAACAACAGAAACATTAACGTTGGCTGGAAATATTTTTAATGAAGTGAGGGAAACAACAGTAACAGAAGCAATGGTTACCAGCTAACTATACATGAGAATTTTTTCCATTGCATTCAATAATACATGTTATCACACAGAGAGATAGGATTTAATGTTTAAATATGGATATTATTCAGTTCCCAAATCTCCATTCTATTTTCATTAGTTGGATAGATGTCTCTTTTCTCATTGTAACAATAAAGCAAGTTAAAACTTAGTTGTGACTCCAGGCAGAATTGAGGACCAATGGTATCATATCAAAAGAGAGAGAATAAATAAATTAGTCTTTTTCTCCTCAATTCTTAAATATGGAGAGGCAGCTCATTCTGAGACATACGAGAAATAGAAGTTAAAGCAGGAAAAAATAACCCTTCAGGGAACAGACTTAAAAATACTCCTCAGAAAGATAAGTATAAGATATTCCCACCATAAAACAGGAATAGTATACAGTAGAAAAGGAACATTAAGAGAGCAAAAACAAGCTCTTGAAAATTAAAGTATAAGAAAACCAATATAAAATCAAGGAACCCTTACAAAAAGTAGAGCCAAAAAACTATAGGAAAGAAGTAGTAAATTCAAAGGCTATATTAATGTATTAAATAATAGATATTTTTTAAATAGGCCAGAGAAAACAGAAAAAAATCATCAAAATAATGAATATTTCTCAGAACTTAAGAGCACACATTTTCAGGCTTAAGAGACCTACCTATGCCCAGGAAAATGGATTTTAAAAGGACCTTACACCAGGTCATAAAAACCATGAAATATCCAAACACTAGGTACAGAGAAATGATCCAAGGGGGTTGCAGAGATAGAATACTGGTCATGTAAAAACATTAGAAATCTGAATGGCCCCAGACATTGCAAAGCAACAAAACAAACTAAAAAATTCTGAGGAATTAAGTCCAACCCAGAATTATACACTAGCTAAAATATCAATCACAACTGGAAATAGTATTAAAGCTATTTTCAGATGTTGGCTGTAACAAAGAATATACAACTCGCCTGGTGGCGGCAGCGGCAGCGGCAGCGGGTTCTCCGCCTTGACCAGTGTTTCTCCGCTGCCTGAGGGGTGGACTACACGGCAGCGTCATGGTTGAGGAGGTCCAGAAACATTCTGTACACACACTTGTGTTCAGGTCATTGAAGAGGACCCATGACGTTTGTAGCTGATAATGGAAAACCTGTGCCTTTGGATGAAGAGAGCCCTGAAGCCAGCCGATTATGGCCTGAAACCTCTGCAAATTGATGTCTGGTATTTTGTCTCAGCAACAAAAGAAAAGTAACTGAAACAGAAATTTGCTACCAAAGAAGTGGGGTTGTTGCTGTGACATTACCTGGCCTGGTGGCTCAAAAGCCTTTGGAACTGGCATGTGGGAAGGGGAAGAGTTAGGAAATATTCAGAGATGTTGGCTACAGAAGTAGCACTGGAACGCCTTAGGCTATTATGTATGGGAGTTTCTGGTCAGAGCTCAGAAGACCAGAAAGCTGGTAAAGACCAGGGTCAGGAAATGTCTGCTAGAAAGGACTAAATTGGTTGTTGGACTCCAGACAATGTATGTTATGTCTTGGCAGAAAGTTTATCTCCATTTTGTTGGTGTCCAGAGACTTTGCCTGAGACTAAGATTGGGGCAGCAGACTAACTAATTTGCAGAAGAAATTTCAAGGCAGTCAAATATTGAGGTGGTGGCATGGCTACTATTGGGGGGTTTTATCGAGATCTATTTTAAGAATCCGGAGCAAAAAGCACAGCAGAATGATTTAAAACATTTTGAGTTTGGCCAGAAAGGAATCTCCAGCAAAGCTGTGGACTGCAAAGATAGAGCAGAGGAGATCTTGATTGCTGAGAAGGAATGGGAGAATAGAAAAGATGGCCTGAGGGCATCACAGGAAGCAGCAGGAGCCCACCCTTTGGAGCCTCAGAGTTGTAAAGGTGAAAGATTTTGCTTTGAGGAGAAAGCCCTAGAGGACCATGTTCCAGAGTGGCTGCAGCCTAGAGAATTTGTTTCTCAGGATTGGGTTCAGAGTGCTCATCAATCCAGGCACTCAACCCCTACAGACAAGAGAGAAGGAAGTTTGGCTACAGATCCAGCTGGCAACCGACCTTGGTATCATCCACATGGCACTAGTTTTAGGCTCATGCAGAATAGAAGAGTTGTGGGGTCAGGAGGCTTCCACCCAGATTTCAGAAGAAGGCCTGGGAGGCCAGGCACTGTGCCCCTGAGAGGGCAGTGTGCGAAAATGTGTGTGAAGCTGAAGGTGCAGTGGAGACCCCAGAAGTTTGGAGAAGCCAGGAATGTGGATCAGCTGAGGGAAACTACAAGGAGGGAGCAGAGCCAGCCCAAGAAGGAAGCTTTGGTGCTACAGCCACTAAAAGTGCCACAGGGGCAGAGCCATCCAAGCCCTCTGGAGTTCACAGCTTGCCACAAATTGCCTCCTCGGATGCTGGAAGTGGAACTGTGGAATGTAATGTTTGGCCTGCTGGATTTTGGACTTACTTTGGTCCCATTCCTTTGTATCCTCCTGTTTGTACCTTTTGGAATGGTAATGTCTATCTTGTGCCATTGAATGTTGGAAATGTTTGACTTTCTTTTCATTTGTACAAGGGCTCACAGCTAAGAGTTTGCCTTAAATCTCAGAGGACCTGGGGCTGGACTTCTCAGCAGTGCTGAAACCATTAGGACTTTGGCAACTCTTCCAGATGGACTAAATGCTTTTTTGCATAAAGAGATATCCATGAGTCTTTGGGGGGACCAAGGGTGGAATGTTATGGTTTGTGTTTAGATGCCCCCCAAAGCCTCATGCGGATGAGGTGGGACTTTCTTTTTCAGAGGTACTTGAATCTGGAATGTATGATGCTGGGCTTAAGGGCATGTGATTATTAAACCACTAGTGTGAGTGATTAGTTTGGCACTGCCCTAATCCTGGTAGTCTGAATAAGATAAGAGGGGTAGAAGGATCCTGTTAAACTCTCTTGTTACCCTTACTGCTTTGTGTGCACCATGTTGTTTCTCCTCTCCGATGTTTGTTTGCCATCCCAGCCTTGGAGCCAGCCGACTGTAGACTGAAACCTCTATGAACTGTAACCCAAATAAACCCCTTCCCCTTCAAAAAAAAAAAGAATATACAACTCATTCATTCTATCTTAGCAGGCTGCTGGATGAGTTTTCCATGAAAGAAGGGCAAAACCCAGGAGGAAACGGGACAGGCATGAGAAGCACAGATCCAGCACAGAAGAGGCAAAGGGATTGGCAGGGTGAGGGTGGCTGCCCTGTGCCAGTGGACACCGTGCACTATGGGAACCAGAACAGGGCACTGGGTCAAGGGCTGGGTCAGGATTAAATTTGATAAACTACCTGCTACATCTAATGTCTTCAGAAGGGATTTAGGTAAATGGCAAGTTAAGAAGGACAAATCTAGATGGGCATGGTGGCAGATACCTGTAATCCCAGCACTCTGGGAGGCTGAGGCAGGAGAATTGCAAGGTCAAGCTCCGCCTGTGTAACTTAGCGAGTTAGTGAAACCCTGTCTCAAAATAAAAAATAAAAAAAGAAGGCTGTGGCTACAGCTCAATGTAAGGACCCTGGGTTCAATCCCCAGACCCCCCCCCCCAAAAAAGGTAAGTCAGCAAGTGTCATAGTAGGAAGTCAGTTCATAACGTCTAAAATCAAAAAGTGGGAACAAAGGTACGATATTTAGAAACATATTGTCAATTCCAAAATAATCAGGAAATGAAAGTTCCAGGGGAGAAGGAAATGGAAAGGAAGAAGGGGGCAGAGAGATTGCCATTTTTAAATTTAACAAATAAAATGCCATTAAAAAATAACAAACCTTGTGAAGTTATTTGACTCTTTAAAGTAGTAGTTCTCAACTGGAGAGACATGTGCATGCCCACCCCAGCCCAGGACACATGGCAACATCTGGAAGCATCCTTGGTTGCCCTTACTAGGAGAGGAGGGCAGATGCTGGGCTGCTGCTGAAAGCCTTTCCATACACAGAGCAGCTTATCACGAAGGGTACCCCCCCAAGATGTCAGTGGAGCTGAGCCAAGAGGAACCCTGCTTTAAACTATGTGAAAAACTGTCTACAAAAAAATACAAAGATATATAAAATAAAATAGGTTAAAAATCATGGTGAAATTAGAAAAAAAAATGAGGAACAAAATCCAGGTGAAAATTTAGAGAAGTTAAAGTAAGCATGTAATCATTTCACAAGAACTAAAGATGCACATCGAATGAAAGGCCAAGTTTTGTCTGAGTTTTCCAATACAAACTTGTGCTCTTTCAGTGTAAAAGCTGGAAATTTTCAACATTTAAACTCCAAAACACTCATATAAAGTTGGAAAATGCAGCTGGGTAGGTGAAATAAGCATTACAGACAGATCAACGTGGACAGCACAAAAGAAATTCAAATGTTCCCAAAGGCTAAGAGACAGTGCTTACATGTTTCCCATTAGTTGATTTTTTTTTTAATGATTAATGTGTCATTGCGGGGAGAGAACCCAACAAATAGATGAGCTTGTTAGCCTGCTTCTGACGTTCAAGGTTGAACTATTTCGTTAATAAGCCAAGGGAAACAACCCAGAGATATTTCAATGCAGATGACATTTAGATTAATTTGAAAGCCTTTTCCAATTATTTTTCTAATTATATCAATCTTCATCACTTTTTTTCTGAGAGCACGGTGATAAAGGCTAGCCATCCAAAACCGTGTTGAAGAAGAGAATTACAGCTGGGAAGCAGCCCCAGCTGGAGAGGAGGAGGAAGTGGGGAAAGAGGTTTCCTTACTTTGTGTCCCTGAAACCTACATAAATAAACTCCATGCTTAAAGTTTCTGTTATAGTTTGTAGGAAAAAAAGAACTAGACTGGAGTAAAATCAACTATGAAGACAAAACTGAAAGACAACCACAAGTATTGATTTTTTATCACTTTTTTATGCTGTCTAATTGACATGATATTAACCTTAGTTCTCCTGATTGGTGCTGTTCTAAAGAAAATAGATGAAGCCTTTATCAATAGACAGTTATTTTAAAACTGTCTTTTAAAAACAAATAAGACATCTTATTTATACACAGTCTAAGTTATACAAAGAGTCTCAAATTCAAGAATCTATTCTTAACCCCCTGCATCCTGAGGCAAGGGGAAGAGTACGAGATGTGCTGGAGGTTGGTGTTCTGAGTGACTGAAAGCACTGGGCAACACCTAAGACATAGTCATAGTCAAAGACATAGTCACATAATAATAATCAGTCACATAATAAACAGCCTTTCTGACAAAGCTCCAGAAATCTCCCCCTGAGCTAAATGAGAGACCCTTTTAGCAATTCCTGTTAAAACTTTTTTTCTGCATTGCTGGGGATGGAACTCAAGGCCTTATAAATGCTAGGCAAGCACTCTACCACTGAGCTACATCCCAGCCTGAGGAAAGGACTTTTGAGAATTTGCCTTATTAAAAATAGCTTCACAAAACCTGACTAGTAAAGATAAGATATAGTGGGCATTAGGATTAAATCTGCCAGGGATACAGGATTCAATTTGCCATATCTTGGCAGTGAAAGACCTGTTTCAGATCACAAAAATCGTATTTCCAGTGATAAGAACCAAGGCAGCCAGAACAGGTGAACCAGTTCACTAAGAGCCTTCTTTCAACGTCTCCCCTATGAGACTATGTAGCACTGAGATGAGTACTACATCCATTTCCCTTCCTCAAGTTTACCTTAGCAAAAACCCTACACATTTTATTATTTGGGAACAAGCAGGACTCCAAAATGGATGAAGTAGTCAGCAAAATGGAGTCCAAGAAGCTTACCGTTTTGCCTCTAGCTCCCTTGTGTCCAGTCTCTCCTGGGTCACCAGGGTCTCCAATCTCACCCTAAACAAGTGATTTGAATTTTTATTTTATTTTCAGTATTAGTTACTGAAATCAAATGTATATCAAGAGATTGATTTGTGTTTTTAAAATGACTCCAACAGGAAGTCATTTTCATGTACATTTTTTAACTTTAATTGTTCTTTTTTTCTTCTTTTCCATTTGTATACCTTTCCACATAGCACACAGCATCGTCATTGATTGTCCTACAATTCTGTCTTCCCAACAGAACCTGAGTCCCTGGGACACATGAGTTTTGCTCTTTGTTTGTCCTCTGACCTATCACAGGACATGGCCCATATATGGAGTTCAGTACACATATCTAAAAAATCTGAAAGCCTTAAGGGAGAGGATATTTTTGTTAACTTATATGAAGATAGCTCATAAAAATAACGGGAAAACTGAGTTAGGCAAAATCAGATAATTTTGGATCTTTTTATATTTTGAGCCTTTGAGCAAAGAAGACAATACATATGCTAGAGAGGAAAGAGTGCATTTGAGGAAAAAATCTAAAAGGGTTAGTTTTCATCCTTTACTAATGAATTACAAAGTTAGAAATAAAAATGTGTAAGTCTTAAGAGTCCTAAATAAATGCACAATTTTTGAAATTGGGAAAAATTTGGCTGTCTCTTCTTTCCTTTCCTTTACAGAGGTAGAACATTTATTTATCACTAGCTCTTCATCTACTGGCCTAGGTTATGTTTCATAACCTCAGGAGTATTTCTTGACTGATTTCTACACATCATGAAGTACATGATACCTTAGGTCCACTTTCTCCAGGGAATCCTTCTTGCCCCTACAATGGACAGTACAGAAAATTAATATACATACACATCCCTCAGGTAGGTTTATATTGAGTTTAATTTTATGTACTACTTTGTTTAGTTTTAGTATCTGAACTAATGAAGGGCTAAAACATTTGGAAACTAGAAACTGCATAGCACTATTTGAAAAACTAACACCAGTTTCTAGATTAAATTGTTAACTGATTTCATCAAAATGTGATAGCTTAAGTAACTAAAAGAAATTTGAGGCTAAAATGATGTGAGGAAATTTCAAATTGCCTCTCCCGTGTGCATATTATGGCTATTTGGTCTTGTGTTTCTGGAACAGTTTTCTTAAAATGAATTTGAACAGAGGGATTTGGGAAGCCTTCAGAAAATGCAAACTGGATTACTCATTTTAAGTTTCTCTGTTTATCTTACATTGGCCAAAGACTAGTTGAAGAGGTAAATAATCCTTATTTAATAAGAAAATATTTATTTTATTTAGAATAAAGTTTATTTCTTTTAAAAATTTTTATCTTATTTTTAATTAACATGGGTGAATTGTGCATACATTAATGAGGTTCAGTGTGAAATTTCAACACATGGATACAGTATGCATTGATCAAATCCAGCCTCTTTTTATATAACATCTCCAGCCCTTCCTCCCCAACCTCTGGTAATAACTATTCCACAAAAATAAAGTTTATTTCTGATTATTAAAAGAAAATTTCAAGGATAAAAAGAAAAATCATGCAAATTTTACTACCCAAAACTATTGTAAATATTTTGTCTATTCCTTTTAGCTTTCAAAGATACATTTTAGCACAGCTGGGATAAATGTTTTTCTAAATATACTCTAAATTTTTCCTTGAAATTGCCACATAAAAATTTTAAACATAATTATAAGTCACAGGCATTCATTTTGGCATAATGCCATAGGCTACTTAGTATTTCTTCTTTTATGGGCTATTAAGGTTATTTTTAATCATTCTCTATTCTAATGAAAATTTCACTTCTTGGTTTTACTTTTCAAAAACTTTTAGCTTTTGTTTTTGTTTATTTTTTTTCCAGATAACTTCCTGCATCATTCTTATTGACATTTCACTTGGAATTAGATTGAGCTTTTGTATTTTAGACTTTAAGACAGGAACTTGGTATGCCTCTCCACTTATTGAAGTTTTCTATCTCAGATTCTTGTCATAGGTTTCAAATATTTTTTTCAGAAAGGATATCCTGCACTACATTAATTCTTTTGAGGATTTTGTAATTATAACTGGGTCTTTTTCAAAACTAATTATTGTTGGTACAATATATAGAAACCACTGGCTTTAATAAACTCATCTTTCTCCTAGTCTCTTATATACCCAGTGACAATATAAATACTCATTCTGAATGTAGTTTTATTTTTAGGTTACTGCTCACCCCCTGCATTTAGGAAATTCCTGTAAAATCTCTCACTAATGGCCAACAGGAGCAGAAGTCAAGGAATTGCCTCCCAGAGTAAACTTAAGCACACAGCTAAGATGAGAAGAACTGTTCGGGCTGGGACAAGATACGTCCTAACCACACATCACTACAAAATACAGGAAATTCATTTTCAAGTTTCAATTTCTGCTTGCTGTTGAAATCCTCACACCTTTTTCCTCCACCACGTTCCCCATAGGATATCATCAAATTATCAAAGTACATTTCAAAGCGCATAAGATTGCTTTATTCACTGTTGCTTTTTTTCTTTTAAATATGCCAAACAAAACAAGTGATTTGGATAAAGTCCAGCTTCCAGTGGATGTGGCTTACCTTTGCTCCTTTCTGTCCCATGCTACCATAACCTGGACTGCCATCATCACCCTTTAAACAAAGCAATTAGTTACAAACATCCCAGACCACACGGAGACTTGGGCTTATTCACAAGAGGACAAGATGGCCAGCGTTTTGGTTTGATTAGAGCCACCAGGAAGCAAAATTCTTCCTTTGGGTGGGCCACTGACATTTTATGAAAGTGATACTAAATGTGTCTGTAGAATGGGAATAATAATTATAATAATTACATCTATTTGTAGTGTTGTCATGAAGATTAAGAAAATATCAAGCATCTGGTAATCTTTCAATAAAAAGAGTAGTAGCACTACCTCTCCCAAATAACATTTGTATTTTAATACCTTAGCCCTAATCCATTTTCATTTTCTAGGCAAAAACAAGAACTCTGAAAATGCCTGGGCACTGGCTAGTGTGGCCCTTGCAGAAGCTCTGACAATGAGCATTAAGATGGAATAAGTGTCTGGTGAAAGGTCCTGATGAGACGAAAGGTTAGTAGGGTTATGGGGATGCTAAAGACAGGTTTTGTCTATTTTCCCATTTGGCTTGAAGAGCATCCTGGCCATGATGTTTGGCACCTGGGAAATTTTCACCTTGTAAAACCTAGCCAAGGACCCAATCCAAGGGGATATGTTTTCCAATTTCCACAACACCAGGAAGCTAAATTGGGAGTGTCCTTAAAACTCATAAGAGGACTCTTCAGAGATATAGTGCAGAGATCTAATGATCTGAAAGATGCCAAGGGCCAGATCAAAAGTAGTGATAAAACACAAACCGGCAATCCTCTAGGACCAGGAAAACCAACAGCTCCTTTTTCTCCTGGATCACCAGGTTCTCCCTGTTAAACAGAACAATGGAACATGCCCTTACTAGGTTGCTTTGGAAATCAGAAACTCAAACAATGCACTAAGGGAGCACTCAAGTGCATCCACACATATCACACATGAGAGCAATGGGTTTGTGCCCAGGACTGTGTGTTGCACAAGTGATATAACAGGGATGGCTTTGTTAGCTAGCAAGTCTTCTTCCATCAATAACTGAAGTCTCACCAAGTCTGCTTTATGGTTTATGCAAGTTGCCATGGTAGCAGCTCAGTGCCATGAAAATATTTCACCATGAGTCAAGGAGGAAGCTCTGGACTATTAAAAAAATGAACAAAATTGTGCTCCATGATAATCCATGAAAATCATTTGGCTCCTGCAAAGATGGCAGATTTATTATCACAGTTCTAGGGCTTAGAAAGCACAATAACTCTGGGAATAGTTTCTAACCTCTGGTAGAGAATCAAATGTAGGTTATAAATCAATTTCAGTATTATCTTGGGGAAAGTGCAGCTACAGAGGAAAATTAACACAGGTTTACAAAGGAAGGTTATTTCTCTTTTAAACATGAAAGATTTAATTTTGGAATAGTTTTAGAAATGTTGTGAACATAGTCAGAAAGTCCTAAATAACCCACATCTTCTGTCCCCTATTGTTAACAGTATGTTAATTGCATTCATAAGGCACATTTGTCACAATAAAAGCATCAATATAGATTATTATTCATAGTCCATATTTTATTCAGGTTTTTTTTTTTACTTAATATTTTTCTTCAGTTTCAGCATCCTATCCAGGACACCACATGGCATGTCTCCTTGGGTTCCTCCAGACAGGGACCGTTTATTAGATTTTTTTTAGTTTTGATGACCTTGACAGTTTTTGAGGTATGTTGGTCAGGTATTTTATAGAATGTCCCTAAGTAACTAAATGTGTAAATAAGGACTGAAGGGTGTAGTAGATAATGTGAAATAGAAAGAAAAGGGGCAAAGGGGAAGGGGAAGTGGGAGGGGTAGGGGAAAGGAAAGGGGAATGGAATCAATATGAGAAAAGGAAAAAATGGAAACAAAGTCTTTGTAAATAAGGGAGGGGTGAAGGGGTTGAAAGGAGGGCAGGGGAAGGGGAAAAAATAGGAACAAAGAGAGATTCTGTAAAGGTGCAAATTTCCAATGATGAATGTCATTATATTGTATTCCTAAAATGTGCCAATAAAATTAATTTTAAAAAAAGAATGTCCCTAAATTGAGCTTTTCCTGCTCTTCTTAGGATTAGATGGGGTTTATGTGTTTGGGGAAGGAAGACTACAGGGATTAAGTGCCATTATCATATCATATCAATGGTATATACAAAGTGCGCTTATCTCTACTGATATTAAACTTGACCTTCCAGTTGATGTAGTGTTGGTCAAGCAACCTCATTGTCAAGTTGCTCTTCATCTTCCTCCCCCTTTCTACACTGTACTCTTTGGTATTTTTGTTTTGTTTTGTTTTGGTAGCAGGGATCAAACTTGGGAACTTGTGCTTGCAAGGCAGGCGCTGGAACCACTGAGCTAAATCCCTGGACCAATACTGTACTCTTTGGAAGGAAGAGTGTGGAAGTATGTGTAGACTACACTTGAGGGGTGGAAGTGGCTAAATCATTTATTTTTATTTTTATTAGTACATGTTTGCAGTACATAATGTTTACATTCCTCATGGGGAGTTGGTACATGTGTATAACACATCTTTATTCCTTTTTCATTCCCCTGATCTCTTATTTCCTTCTCCTCTGAGAATGATCTACCTCCCTATCTCCTATTATCTTTTATTTTGTTCTTTTTTATTAATTTCATTGGTACATTTTAAGTACACAATATGTTGAGATTCATTATTGGAAATTTGTATCTTTTCATAATCTCTCTTGGTTCATATTTTTTCTCCATTTCCCTGCCCTCCCTTCAACCCCTTCACCCTTCCTTATTTACAAAGACTTTGTTTCCATTTTTTCCTTTTCTCATATTTATTCCTTTCCCTTCTTTCCCCTACCCTCCCAATTCCTATTTCCCTTTGGACCTTTTCTTTCTATTTCACATTGTCAATTATACATTTTGATCCTTATTTACACTTTCAATTACTCACACCAAAGAAACTATTCGGTATTTACACGTGTCCTATTTATTTCACTTAAGAGTATAGCTTCAATTTGTATCCATTTAGCTATAAATATCTCTAGTTTCTCATTCTTTATAGCTGAGTAGTACTCCATTTTATTTAAAAAAAAACATTTCTTTATGCTGTTTCCAGCGGATGGGCAATTGGGCTGTTTCTAACTTTTAGCTATTATAAACTGTGCTGCTATGAATGAGTGGACCTATATCACTGTGGTTTGATTCTTTTAATTCTTCGGGGAAGATACCCAGCAGAGGAATAGCTGGGTCAAATGGGACCCATAATCCTAGTTTTTTTGAGGTAACTCTGTACTGATTTCCACAGTGATTGCACCAGTTTACATTCCCACCAGCAGTGGAGCAGGGTTCCTCTTTCCCCACAGCCCCACCAGCATTTGTTATTGGTTAATTTCATGATGGCAGCCATTCTTTCT